TTGGCCTGGCCCAGCCCCTGCCATAGTGGCCATTTGGGGAATGATGCAAGATTTTCTCTCTCTCCCTCTCCCTCTCCCTCTTTCTCTCTATAACTATGCATTTCAAATAAGTAAATACATTTTTTAACAGGCAGAGAAAGAGAGAAAGCAATCTTCCATCCTGCTGGTTCATTCCCCAAATGGCCACGACAGCCAGGGCTGGGCCAGGCTGAAACCAGGAGCTTCATCCGGGTCTCCATGTGGGAGCAGGGGCCCAGGTACTTGGGATGTCTTCTGCTGCTTTCTCAGGTGCATCAACAGGGAGCTGGATCAGAAGTGGAGTAGCCAGGACTCAAATGGGCACCCATGTGGGATGCTGGCACAGCAGGCTGCTGCTAAACCTGCTACACCACAACACTGGCCCCATAAACAAATCTTAAAATGAAAATAAAAACCTTGAAATCACCCTTGACTCATTGCTTCCTATTATGTGGCACATCCCATTGTTCTACTGTAAATTTTCCTCTGAACCTGACCTCTTCATACCCCCTCTTCTGTTCCCATCCTGGATTATTTGCAGTGCCCTCCAACAGGCTTCTTAGCTTGAGTCTTGCTCCAAACAAAAACTGGAATCATCTTATTAACCCTTAAGTGAAATTCAGTATTTCTCCTTTACTGGAAACCCTTCAGTGGCTCTCCCTCTTGTCTATGTTAAAAGGCAAATTCTAGGGCAGGTGCTGACCTAGCAGGTGAGGTGCCACTTAGGGTGCCTGTGTCCCGTACTGGCGCGCCAGGGTGCAAGTCCTAGCTTCACTCCAGACTCCATCTTCCTACTGCGGCACAGCCTGGGAAGCAGCAGGTGATGCCACCACATGGGGGGCCTGAGTATTGAATTCCCTGCTTCTGGCTTCAGCCTGGCCTAGACCTGGCTGTTGTAGGCGTGCGGGGAGTAAATTAGTGAGTGAGGGATTCTTCCTCTGTCACTGTCTCTCCACCTCTAAAATACGCAAATCAATAAGCTGTAAAAGCCAGTGTCCTAACAATTACATGCAGTGCCATGCAGGCGTGGCCGCTTGCTCTCGTTCGCCTTTTCCAAGGGAGATGTTGCTCACCGATCCAACCATGCTGGCCTCCTCACTTCATCCTGCCCATGCTGTGTGTGCCCCTGCCTCAGCGCTGTGCTCTGGGCCCTCCTCCTGCCTCCCGGACGCTCTTCCCACAGCGTGCACCCTGGCTCCCTCATCTCCTGCAAGTTTTTGCTGAGGTGTCACCTCTCAGGGAAGTCTTCCCCAGCTGCCCTATTTTTAAAATTATAAAAATTTTATAATTTCACCTGCCATCACATCTCATTCCCTTTCCTGCTTTTTCTTTCTCCGTGGCACTTGCACCATCTAAAGTGCTATTTTTAAAAGTTATTTTGTTTACTCTGCAGGATAGATGTTCCATAAAGGTCAGGAGGGAGTCCTGTCTGCTTTGTTCACTGCTGTAGTCCTGGCTGCCGGAATGGACGAATGAATGGACACTCGGTTGGAGGGGAGTTTGTGTGTTTGTGAGCTTTGAGGGCTGGCTAGCCACACACGCATGCAAAGCGATTGCCACTGAGACACGGGTTTCTTGCACTAACTCTCATCTCTGGCTGTAGCTTTTTAGGGAAAAGTAACTTAATCTTTATGACACTATAATTACTTTTTAACTTTTCTAGAGGGTAAATGTTTTTAAAGCACTTAGGATAGTGCCTAGCACATGGTAAGAGCTCTGTAAGTATTTATTAAAGAAGCAGCAAGTACTTTTTCAAGCAGTTTGTGATAAATAACTCTGGCAGAATGTGAACCAAGACCAGTAGACCTCAAGAGGCTCAATGTAGTATAGGCCTTGACCTGTACTGGAGAGTGGTTATTCTACGTATAGAGCTGGAACAGAGCCTGACAGCTTAGTAGGGACAGAGTCACAGGCCCTCTCTACTCTGGAGGATAAACAAAAAACAATACCCTGTGTGCACGATGGGATTAAGAGATTTAGGGGGTAAATTACTTTTGAACAGAAGTTCAAGGAATTACTTTTGAGTGGAAGTCCATAAAGCATATGGCTAAGGAAGGGTGACTTCGGAGGTATCAGCTGAGGCAATGGAAAGAAAGGAGCTTTTGTTGGGTGAATATTTATTTGTGCACTAAGCCCTATGTTAAATGTTAGGTACCTTCTAGAATCTCACAGTCCAGTGGTGGGGGTGGGGGTGAGGAGAGAGGAGTTAACCAGCAATGACCAGTGCAGCCGTGGTGCTATGAGAGAGACGTGCCCAGGGCGTGTTGAAAGCACAGAATTGCTTCCTCATCCCAGGAATGATTTCAGAGTAAAGAAATCATTTGCTGCCAGTTAAACACAGTGGACAGAACTCACCTGTTTATCTCCACTCCTTGAGGAAATCCCATCACAATGGATGTAAAATATTGAAAAAGACAAGAACCAGTGCTTTTTAACCTTGGCTGAATATTAAGATTAGCTGCAGAAAATTTTTTTGAATCCCAGAACCTGTGCTGTGTCCCAGTTGGGTTAAATCAGAGCCTGTGTAAGATGGGACCCAGGCATGAGTACCTGTATACTACAGTTTCCACCAAGAGAACAGGAAGGGAGACAGCAGTGCACGTAAGAAATGAACAGCACTGGAGAGCTGGGGAAGGGGCTGACCCTGAAATGGACTTTGCAGAGCTGAGAATAGAAAACCAAAAGGCGAGACGGTTCCTGTTAATGGATTTCAAAAAGGCTTCAGGGGTCAGAGGCACTGCTGTGGGGCAGCTGGAGTCCAGGATTGGTCAGAAATCTGTATAAAGTGCATCAGATGACTGAGACTCGTTCCTGTGTTGGCCATGACCCCATCCCCGGCTTTCGGAGGGCCCCACCCAGGTATGGTTGAGAGCAGGAGACCAAGAGTGAAGCCAGGCTTGTGTGAGGCTGGCTGCCCTGAGCATCGGCAGCCAGATCTATGCTGCTCGGCAGAGCCTGGGTGGATGTAGTGCTGGGGAGGAAACAGGCCCACAGGAAGGCCAGTCAGTCGTTGGCCCCTGCGCTGGTGTCCGCCTGTGCCCACGCTTGTAAGCACCAGGTTCTTCTAGTCAGCTCCAGAGGGACTCACTTGAAATAAGAAAGACAACCAAAGATCAGCAGACTTTTGAGGAGAGTACTTGATGTGAAAGACATGTCAAAACAGGCTGGCAAAAGTAAACCAATAGAGAACTCAGAAAAAAGCCATGTCGTAAGCAGCAAAGATAGACAGATGGATAGCTGTAGACAGATAGATAGATGGGAGGTGAGATTAATAGCACCAGCAGAAGCTGGGAACGCGTGTGAGGCCTTCCACCATGTGCCGTGGCTGATGAGGCGCCCGTGTGGCTGAGTCCTGGCTCCGTCACCTCCTCCCTGTGTGATGCTTAACCTCTCTGTGCCTCCATTCCCTCGTCTGTAAAAAGGGCGATGAGGAAGGTGGTGATGCTACTTAGAGAACAAGAAAGAATTCCTGGAAATGACAAATATAATGGCAGAATCCAATAGAAAGTGTTAAAAGTAGAAGTTGGGGAAACTCTAAGAAAAATTGAAAACACAGCTGGAAAATAAGAACAGAAAAACATATGATTTCCCTGAGAGTTACAACAGTTGAGTTGGAAGAGAGAACAGGGACAGAGATAGGGACAGAGACTGGGGTGAGGGAAGAGAAGGAGGAGAGGAGAGGAGAGGAGAGGAGAGGAGAGGAGAGGAGAGGGGAGGGGGAGGGGAGGGGAGGGGAGGGCAGAGGAGGGCAGAGGAGGGGAGGGAAGGAGTCGGGGAGAGGGAGAGGGGGAGAGGGGAGAGGAGGACGGGGAGGGAAGAGGGGGAGGTGAAGGGAGAGGAGGAGAGGAAAGGGAGGGAAGGGAAAGGAGAGGGGGAGAGGAAGGGGAGGGAGGGCAAGGGAAGGGAGGGGAGGAGAGGGAGAAGGGGACCGAGGGAGGGGGGAGAGGGAGAAGGGGAGAGGAAGGGGGAGGGAAGGGAAAGGAGAGGGAGGGGGGAGAGGAGAAGGGGAGAGGGAAGGGGTGGGAAGAGGAAGGGAGAGGAGGAGAGGAAGGGGGAGGGAGAGGGGAAAGGGAGAGAGGAAGGGAGAGAGGAAGGGAAAGGAGAGGGGAGAGGCAGATGGGGGAGGGAGGGGTGAGAGGGAGAAGGAGAAGGGGGAGGGAGGGGGAGAGGGAGGAGAGGAGAAAGCAGAGGAAGCCTTGAGAGTCCTGAGCAGAGCCTTTCCCAGAAATGAACGACACAGCTCAGCCTGCACGGCCTCCCGGAGCCCGCGAGCCGGGTGGGGAACGCCGAGTCCCGGGCACGCCGCTGTGACATTTCTGAGCACTGACGGAGGGGAAAGTGAAGTGCTTCCAGGTCACAAACAAAGGGTGGCACTTGAATGGCAGAGGGGTAATCAGGCTCTAAGCAAGGTGTGCAGATGCTGGAACATCAGGCTGCCCTTGTTCCTTGACATAGAAGTCCTTTGATTTAGACATATTTGTCACTTCAAAAAAAATAGCTCTTGTAGAGAGTGGGGGCTCAGCTCTGCTAAGTGAATGTCAAAAAAGCTCATGTCTGCCTTTGTCCAGAGCTTCTGTTTCTTTTATTTTTAAGCTAAGGTGAACGAGTGTTCAGTGTACCCTCTTTCCCTCCCCCTCCGGCTCCCTCCCCTCCTTTCCTCTCCCGCTCCTCTGTTCTCGCTTTCCCTGACTTTACCTTCTGAGCCTTCACACTTCTGCTGTGTCTATTTCTGTCTCTCCTCTTCCTTTTCTCTTTCTCTCCACAGAAGTCTTGTGTTGGTCTAATAATTGGCAGGAGAGGTTTTTTTAAGCTTTTTAAGTGATGAATAGTTGGCTTTAGATCAAAGACAAGCCCTGTGGTTTTCTGGCTGTCCCAGAAGGGCGGTGCGGCTGGCAGGTGTCCCAGCCGCCTGGTGATAGGCATGTGGAAGAGATACCAAGCTCATAGGTCACTGTGTGTGCTCATGCACGTGTGTTTTTCAGGCCAACAGCAGGCTGAAGCAGATCGAGAAGGAATACACTCAGAAGCTGGCCAAATCTTCACAGGTAAGCAACACTAAAAGAAACCAAGTAAAGTCAAATCAAAAGTAAAGCTGAAATAAAACTACGCACAAAGGCCTTTGTACTTTAGACTTAACCTTAATTCTGCCCAACTTTTCATGGAGTAGTAGCTCATTGCTGATGAGTATGTAAAGAAGCTATGATTACCATATGTCAGTCCTATTAAAAATCTTCAAATTAAGCATATTGAGCCATTTTAACCAACACACACACACAGATAGACACACACGGACTCAGATGTGGTAAAACCTGTCTGTACACTTGAGCAAGCCCAGGCTGAGGCACATTTCACAAGGGCAGGATACTCACACCTCCATTTGTGATGTAAGCAGTCTGATACCATCTGTACCTTTTTGCAATATTCCATTTCACTGCAACCTAAAGGGCACTTAGCAACAAAATTCAAAATGACAATAATTCTAGGTTCAGTCAGCAGCTCAATGGTGACTCTTCTCAGGAAAAGAGAACGACAAGTTCCTACATCCGTGTCTGGCTCTGTGTTATTACGACGGTAGTTCCACTCCAAGAAAGGCCAGTGATTGAATGCTTGTCTCTACTTGAACTATGATGTTCGGAGGACTTTTTCTGCATAAGTTGTCATAATGTTGTCCAACGGTGTCATTCAGGGAATCTCAAGCATTCCTTAGTTGTATGAGTGATTCTGGAGCAAACAGATACTCCTTATCTTCATTTTACAGCTGGATAAATGAAGCCATTTGGTTTCAAGAGCATCATATCTAAGGACTGCAAGCCAGCTCATCTGAGTATCTTTACTGTGGTAGTAAACGGGAAGTCACGCGCATTTTATGAGTTACCATGTAGTAGTAGAACAACAACACAAACAAAACAATAATTTTTAACCTTCGAAAGGCACTAACCATATTGATTCACTCAGTCCTCATTCACAGTAACTCTGGAACCAGGAAGGATTTTTTGGCCTCATTTTGTCAGTTGAGAAAATGGGGGCTGAGATCACGTTACACAATTTGCTGATTGACTAAGCCAGGATCTACCCAGGATCTGACTTCAAAGTGGAAGTTTTGAACCTTGATACTACTGGCTTGGCCCAGTCCCTTATATTTATCATCATCATCATCATCATTATCATCATCATCATCATCATTACTACTACTTGAGGAGAGAAACAGATAGAGATCTTCCATCCCCAGATCACCCCGCAAAACAACCAGAGCTGTTGTCCCAGGCTGAAGCCAGGAGTGTGGAATTCAATCTAGGTCTCTTGTTGGTGGCTGAGGCTCACCCACTTGAGCCATCACCTGCTGCCTGCCTCCTAGAGTGGACATTAGCAGGAAGCTGGAGTCGGTAGTGAGCCAAGCACTCCACTGTGGAACGCAGGCATCCTAAGTGGCACCTTATGCTGCAACACATGCCCGCCCCTCCCTTACGTTTTTAATATGGCCGAACTTTGGTGCTAGCTATTGTGAAATGTCTCCAATTATTTCTAAAATGTGCATGTTACATAGTTCTTATCCTATTAGGAAAGCAGAAAGTCTTTGTCTAAGTGACGGATCATAGGGTTTGTATATGAGATGGGGATTATGCCTTGATTGCCATCATTCGAGCCCTTCCTTGAGGAAGGAACATGGGGAAATATTATTTTTAATCCACTGAAAAGGAGTATTATAATCAAAAGAAATCATATTACTACAAAAACTAACTCTTAAACCAAATCATGAAAAGCCCCTAGCTGGCACAGGTTGCATCCTGCTTGTTTAGCTGTCTGTTAAATAAGGGGAGAGGGGGTAGGGGACCGACAGTGAGATTTAAGATTGCTAATAAAAACGCTTAAATAATGAGAGTGTAAACATGAGTATTTATCTAAAGGAATATATGAAGAAGCCCGATTAGGTGACACTAGAGTAAATTAAAGGTGAATTAGTGTGGAGGAAAGCCCAAACTTTGGAGCCCTGGATTTGAAAACTGTGACCTTGAACAAGTTACTGGCCCTCTTTGGAATTTCGTTTCTTCATTTGTCAGGTGAGAGAGTGGCACTTGCCTCACAGGATACAGCTTTAACTGTTGAGCAAAGCAGTGCTAATAATGCATTTAGCAGGTGCCTCATTACGCACCCAAGCTTTTCATAAAGCCCCAACATACAGTCCTAAAATGGCAATGGAGGAAGACAGGAGGGAGGGAAGAATGAAAAAAGACTGGAAAAGGGTTTGCTGGGTGCTCAGGAATTGATAAAATCTCCCTGAAGAATTTGGAGAGGCCTGGGGTTGCTAACTATTTTCTGAAGTAGAACCAGGAAGGAGGAAGGGAAGGAAGAAAAGCCAACCAGGAACAGCGATCATATCCTGCAGCCATTGTCCTACTGTGGAAGGGCAGTGTGACACAAACCAGAGAACAGGGGAGAGCCCCTCCCCCCCAAAGGCGGGCTCTACCCTGACACCGACAGCATCTTGTCTGCCCATCTCTGCATACAGATAGATACATGCACATAACGTCTATGTATTTATGTCTGTGACCTGGCATTTGAGGAGCAGTGGTCTACAGTGCCAGTCAGTCCAGAGCCATGGGTTGACTTTTTCTGTTTCCAAGTGACAGTTTGCTGCAATCTCTAACTCCTGTCTCACCAAGCTGATAAGAATGTTGGAAGCAAAATTGTTTAATTTTGATTATCAAGTTTTTAAAAATACCTCTATCAAATTAAAAAAAATAATAAAATGCATGCACAAACCCACTGGTATCCAGGAAAGATTCAAGCGAAATTTGAAAAACATTTTAAATATTGTCCTTCTTTAAGGGAAGCTCCTTAATCTGTAAGACTTAATCAAGCTTCTGGGACCTAGTGGACCTTGAACACCAAGCATTGGTGCTTCCGAGGGCTGCGTCCCCTTCTCACATCCTCAGTATTCACCATGAAGGTGTGTTTGCATCGTGCCCCCAAATAGCATTTCCATCAGAATAACATACTTGTTCCTTTTTGTCTGAGTCTTATGTATTAATACTGCCTTTTCAATTTAAATGCAGTTTTTCCCACTGGTCATTTCTCAAAGAAAGGCATTGCCAGTCTGCAGAAATATCCACAGGTGGAAGTGTGGAGGCCAAGGCTGGAATGCCAGCTGAGCCTACCCATTGCCAAGGTGCTGGCTTCCCTGCTGCCCCGTGTGAGCCACCCAGTGTCCAGTGCAGACGAGTGCCTGGATGTTTGCCTCGTGTCCCACCTGCTCCCCACTTCACGCCCTCTCCAGGGCACCACCCAGCATGCGGAGGGAGTCCAGGAGCCGTCCTTGCACTTGTCTCATGAGGAGCTTCGGAGTTCACCTAACCTTCCTAAACATCGCTTAGCTTGCCTATTGTGTTTTTTTAAGTTTTATAAAAATCTCAAACTGCAGGGTGGAAATTTGGTGTAGCAGTTTAGACACTGTAGGAATGCCTGGTTTCAAATCCCAGATCCGTTTCTAGTTCCAGCTTCCTGCTCATGGCCATGGTGTGAGGCAGCAGTGATTTCTCAAGTACTCGGGTCCCTGACACCCACCTGGAAACTTGGATTGAGTGTGGGGCTCCTGGCTTCAGGATGGCCCAACTTTAGCTGTTGTGGGCATTTGGCAGAGTGAACCAGTGAATGGAAGATTCTCTCTCTCTCTCTCTCTTTCTCCCTCTCTCCCCCCTCCCCCTCCCTCCCTCTCTCTCTGCCTGCCTTTCAAATAGATACATAAAAATTATACAGACTCAAACTGCACTGCCATATGGAAAACAATAGAATGAGTTGAAGGTAAACTGTTAACTTCTATTTAGAATCCTGTTAATTTTAAGACTTTAAGTAAGACCACTAGCATGTATGCAATGCATTAATGGCTTAACAGTTATGATAACTACTATAGCTTGCATGGGTTAGATTGCTGACAGCACCAGACCAAAAGAGCTTTCCTTTTGTTTCTCAAAGTGTTAATTTAATTTTATTTTTTTAAAAGATTTATTTACTTTACTTGAATGTCAGAGTTACAGAGAGAGAGAAGAGACAGAGACAGAGACAGAGAGAGGTCTCGCATACTCCCCAGCTGGCTGCAATGGCTGGAGCTGCGCTGATCCGAAGCCAGGAGCTAGGAGCCAGGAGCTTCCTCTGGGTGCAGGGGCCCAATGACTAGGGCCATCTTCTGCTGCTTCCCAAAGCCATAGCAGAGAGCCGAATCAGAAGTAGAGCAGCCAGGTCTCGAACCAGCACCCATATGGGATACCAGCACTGCAGGCGGCGGCTTTACCCGCTACACCACAGCGCCAGCCCTTCAAAGTGTTGATTTTAATATCTGCATGAAATGATGTGATCCACTTCTTTCTCTGAAGCTAGTACAGGGTAAGCAGTTTAATGGTGGCATTTTGTTTTAATGTTTTTTAATTATAATTCACTCTAACGTGGAAGATTTTGGTTATGATTGTGTATATTTGCTTTCATTTTTCTCAGAAACTTTACATTATTGCTCTAATAAAAGGCTAAGTTATCTCATGATAAATTGCCAGGTAGTGATTTTTTTCTTATTTATCATGATTACTGTTGAACCTTAAAGATTTATTGAGTGCCAGTTATATGCACCAGGCTAAGGTGAAAATAGTCCATTCTCTTATATTCTAGTTCTGCAAACAACAAACACGAAGGCTCAGTCTTGGCTCTTTACCTAAAGCATGTCAATCAGATTATTATGACTACTTCTCAGTTTTAGACATTAAATCCTGCTTTTAAAAATTTCCCATATTGTAGCTACCTCTCTATGTCCAACTTCTGAATCAGTCTAGTGGCCAGTTTGTCTATTTGTCCATTTGCCTAGCTAAGGCATTTCTCCTGAGAAGTCTGGACATTCTCTCCTGTGTATCACCTTCATGGGTTTAAATAACAGCTTTCCAAAGATAATCTCATTATTTCCCCCAAAGGGATCTCATTATTCCCACCAAGAATGTAAGGTTTCATTTTCCATGCAAAAGCAAGCATGCTGTCCTCAAAACATTCTGGACTTCACTCGTCCCTTCCAAAACCTGCACTTATTCATTCCTCTTTGATGTATTCCTGTCTTAAATCTTCTGAAAATGAGAGATGTCCTTGTTTCACATCCTTGTGGTCACTTGAAATAACCCAAAATATTTTTATCTTCAGTCTTTGGTCAGTTATGCTAACTTCAGTCTTAGTAGTTTTTTAAAGATTTATTTATGTGAAAGGCAGAGTTACAGAGAGAGAGGGAGAGACAGAGACAGAGAGAAAGAGAGATCTTCCACCAGCTAGTTCATTCCCTAAATGGCCACAGTGCCAGCACTGGGCCAAACCAGAGCCAGGAGCCAGGAGCTTCTTCCAGGTCTCCCACATGGGTGCAGAGGTCCCAGCACTTGGGCCATCCTCTGCTGCTTCCTCAGATGTATTAGCAGGGAGCTGGATCAGAAGTGAGCAGCTGGGACTCGAACTGGTGCCCACATAGGATAATGGCACCATGGGTGGTGGTTTTTTCAGCTACACCACAGTGCCAGGCCCCAAGTCTTAGTGTCTTTTTTAAAGAAAAAAAAATAGGGGGCTGGTGCTGTGGCATAGCGGGTTAAGCTACCACCTGCAGTGCCGGCATCTCATATGGGCTCCAGTTCAAGTCCCAGCTGCTCCACTTCCAATCTAGCTCTCTGCTAGGGCCTGAGAAAGCAGTAGAAGATGGAACAAGTCCTTGGGCCCTGCACCCATGTGGGAGACCTGGAAGAAGCTTCTGGCTCCTGGCTTCAGAGTGGCTCAGCTCCAGCTGTTGCGGCCAGTTGGGGAGTGAACCAACAGATAGAAGACTTTCTCTCTCTCTGCCTCTTCTCTCTCTCTGTGTAACTCTGACTTTCAAATACTTTCAAATAAATAAATAAAACTTTAAAAAAGAATACTTTATACTTTAAAAATAGATTACATGACTACAGTTTGGGATATATAAATTTACACATGTGATAAAATTTTATGGAAGTAAATACACACACGCACACCAGAGTTAAACCCACCACCTATATAAAGTTGTAGTCTACTCAACTTGAAACAGTGAAATCAGTTATTTTTGCTATTTAGCCCTATGCTCTTAAATGAATCCTGAGTTTCATGGTAGGCCAAGGAAATCTGACACTCTTACCCCCAGCTCCTTGGACTCCATGACTAGGAGTGATTTGATTATTGTGTGCATCAGTTTTTGACATTTACTGTAAGAACTTAACCTTTCCTGTCTCACAGAAGTGCTGTGAGAATTAATTGAATTGATGCCAGAATGGAAAGATCTAATTAAAATTCAGAAAATACATGAAAGCACCTTCATGCTCAGTAGATAAATTCCTCCGCTCATGGCAGAAGGCCCAAGTTTGCATTTAGTAATACACTGTTCTCCATGTATTTTGCCATTTCACAGTTGTCTTAATATTTGATTATTTATAAATTCCAAATCCTAAGCTTTGTGAAATGAGTTTGTTCACTTCTAAGAGCACAAACACCCAATCTTGTATTGGAAAGATACTGCTATTTATGTCAGCAGCAACAGCTAGTATTTCCATAGGACTTAGCTTCTGGGGAATTCCAGTTTCTATTTGTTGCTTTATAATCCATGATCTGGTCTTGTCACTGAACAATCATTGGAAAAATTTGTCTAAAGTTTCTTACCTACCAGCTCCCTTCCAGAGAACCAATAGAAACATATTCTAGCCAAGGCCTAATATTGTTAGAAGCAGCTTTTAAAAAGTCATCACTGTTTTAGAAGGAAATGGACAGACACGTCCATACCAAAGGAAGGGCAGTGTTCTCAGTAGGCCTGTTGTGTTAAAAGTTCCCCATCTGATGGCCGAGTCGAGAAGCTGGAGGAAACCTGTCCTGGAGAGAAGCAATTCTCAGATTCCACTAGAGGGGCAGGAGCTGTGGCACAGTGGGCTAAGCCACTGCTCGGGATACTCGTTTCCCATATCAGAGTGCCCAGTTCATAATCAGGGTGCCTGGTTCGAGTCCTTGCTAATATGCTTCCTGGCCATGTGCCTTGGAAAGCAGCAGGTGATGGCTCAAGTACTTGGTTCCTTCCACCCATGTGGGAGACTCAGATGGAATTCCTGCCTCCCGGCTTCAGCCTGCCCAACCCTGCTGTTGTGGGCAATTTGAAGTGTGAACCAGAAGATGAAAGATCTTTTCTCTCTGTCTCTGTCTCTCTGTCTCTGTCTCTCTCTCTCTCTGCATCACTCTGCCTTTCAAATAAATCTAAAAAATCTACAAACATCTCTGAAATGCACCATTTGAATGAAATACATTTTCATAAGTATAAGGAAGAAGACAACCGACTTGGAAATGCAAACTCTCTAATACCTTATTTTAAAGAGAAAATTGGCTGCTTGAAGAGCCAATTGGTGCAGCCATTGATCTGACAACATGCTTGAAATGCTGCCTATCTCCTTAGTCGGAAGTCAGTTTCAGCAATGTGAAAGCTGTGCCTCTGTTTCCTCACTCATGTAAGACAGGCAGTAGTATTTGTCTCACAATATTAGATGACATAAGAACATAAATTGCTTTGCAGAGTATACCAGCTTCACTAAGCGGGCAGAATTCACTGTGCAGAATGAGGTGGCCGTGGGACGTGACTGCTGCTCGCTGTTTTCTCTGTTTATTACAGTTCAAAGCATTATGAAAGGCAGAGTCATTTTTCTCATTCTAATGAGTCTGCTTCTCAGTAAAATAAAATCTGACGCTTTTTATATTTTTGAGATCACAGATGTTCTTTCTTCTGGTGAGTAAATATTGAGGAATGTTATAGTGGAGATGTCTTCCAAGTATATTTGGTTCAGCAGTTGTTCACCATTCACAGTTTTATTATAGGCTTTTATTGTGTGGAATTTCATGCATTATAGTGTGTGATATGTTAATTGAAAATATTTAGTTTGTGGAATACAGTTTTGCCAAATCCATTCTTTTGTTGAGCATAAATACATATAAAGTAGATGCCTCTCGCTGAAGAACTCGCCGTTGCAACATGCTGTTTTCATTTCAGATCATAGCAGAGCTTCAGACCACCGTTTCCTCCCTGAAGGAGGAGAACAGCCGGCAGCAGCTTGCTGCAGAACGGCGGCTCCAGGACGCTGTACAAAAGTTTGAAGATGAGAAGCAGCAGCTGATTAGAGATAATGACCGGGCAATCAAGGTAATCGGAAGACTTCAGTACCCAGTGGTACCAGCTGCTTTAATGTAATTAAAAGGAGGGCTGAGATCCCAGCGGCGGGCAGATGAGTGCAGGTATCTGCCTCGTTCACACAGCCTGCAGTAATTCCATTCACTGGCCTCTGCCTTTGATGTCTCCAGTGACTCAGGCTGACTTCCCTCTCCGAGATCGCATGCCAGCATAAAAAGTCATTTTTGGCAAGCCCAGTCCATTCCCATTGAGCAAATATTTGAAAAATACCCTGTCCTTTCTCTTGAGAACCACTTTGGAATTGTCTCTTGAAATTAGACTGACTGTTTTAGCCCAATACCTACCGCTGGCTAATACATTCAGAAGTCAGCTTCCAATTTACATTCTATTCTTCGCCCACATCCTTTCATTATGTATTCACATAATGAGAAATAACCTGTTCAAGGCTTGGAATGCCAGCCATTTGATGTACTTTGACACAGGACAGGGCGGATTGTTGCTGCTGAGAACCTACGTTGTTTCCAAATGACTTCAGAGCCTCACACCTTTAATAGCAACAGAAAGTTCCCTGGACCCTGATTCCTAACGTGATAGGCAGTTAGACTCAAAGTCGTTTTTTCTTGGCTTCATAGCAGTGAATATTATTGTAAGTGTCTGCATCATGCTGTGCTTAATCTGGGAGGATAAGCATCTGGAAACCTTTATAAATAAGGCTTAAAAGAGAACAAAAAATTTTTTAAAGAATTCCCAGCAAAAGATTATTTTTCAGTGACTTACTTTGTTATAACAATACTGAAAGCATATGGAGTAATCATACAAAGCAAGGAAAAAGAAAAGAAAAATTGGGGTTTCATCACCGCCCCCTTCCCCTCACCTCTCCATCTTCCTTTTCTGTGGCCTATTATAGGCGATCTGAGTCATTTAAGGAAAAGTGAGTGTAATGCAAGTTGCTTTTTGTATTACCCTTCAATCCTGGGCAGCGCTGGTTAGAACAGAAAGCCTTGAGAGAGGGACAGAACCGCGTTCTCAACACCAGCCTGCTCACTTACAGCGAGGGCTCGTTTCTTCCTTGTTCATCTTGCTTCCCCTCCGCATTTGTACCTGTGAGCTTCCCTCCCCCGCTCCCGCCACATGTGTTATGAGACATGAAGACAAGATGTTTCTTATTCTGGGGATTTGAAAACATCTTTCAAGACTTTTTCATTTACAATTGCTCAGGACATGCCCATTGATCTGTAGAACTGCTTGGCTTCACGTGAGCTGAGTTGCATACGGGGTATAAATTGTTTAAATTACATGAAATTTTCATTTTAAGTGAATTTCTTTTCCACTTTTTGTCCAAATACCGAGTAGTCAGTCACTTACAAATTTTTTTTTTTTTTTTTTTTTGACAGGCAGAGTGGACAGTGAGAGAGAGAGACAGAGAGAAAGGTCTTCCTTTGCCATTGGTTCACCCTCCAATGGCCGCCGCGGCCAGCGCGATGCGACCGGCGCACCGCGCTGATCCGATGGCAGGAGCCAGGAGCCAGGTGCTTTTCCTGGTCTCCCATGGGGTGCAGGGCCCAAGCACCTGGGCCATCCTCCACTGCACTCCCGGGCCACAGCAGAGGGCTGGCCTGGAAGAGGGGCAACGGGGACAGAATCCGGCGCCCCGACCGGGACTAGAACCCGGTGTGCCTGCGCCGCTAGGTGGAGGATTAGCCTAGTGAGCCGCGGCGCCGGCCCACTTACAAATTTTAATAATACTTGAATCCCAATATAGGAAAAAAAGGAAAAAATTAAGTTACTCCTAACATTACAGTTCTAGTATTGTTTTCTGAAGATTAAAAACTATCTTGAAAAGTTTATAGTTAGTATAATTGCCTATTTTGAAGTATTTACTTACACAGTTTTAATCGATGTACCTGTTAAAAGGGGAAAGCATTCAGATCCTAATTATAAAGCCCAAATGACAAAGACTGAATTTAAAAGACGGCAGTGTATTGTAAATAACATATAAAAACTGCATGTATCACATGTTACCTGAAAAGAAACAAATTGCAATATAGATATGATATAGGTCAGTTTTGGTTCACTCACTCAGCTTATATGTAAAGTGAGTGATGTTCTTGCTTTTTTTAACCAGTGTGCATTGAAGTTGCTAAGGTAATTGATTCATTAGCAGTGATTTCCTTGGCTCGTTTTTTTCAGGCTATATCACAAAAAATAACAGGAATAATAACTGATATTTATTCAGTATGCTCTACGTGCCAGGCTCTCTGCCAGACATTTTCAATCATTTCACGTTCTGTTATCTCATTCAAGCCTCATGGTAATCTTTATGGGGAAACTGTTTCTGTCCTGCGTTTACAAATGAGGAAACTGGGGCTGTGCGATTGAACAGCTAGCCCAAGACCAGGCTGCTAAGGGGCCGGGTCAAGTCCCAGTCTGTCGACTATGAACCGTGAACTCCGTATCTCACGGACCTGCCTTCTGTCTGCGAAAATGAGCCAGATGCCAAGTGCAAAAATGAACCTGGAGTGCCCCATTCTGCTCTTCCGTCTTCCTGAATGCTATGGTGTTTTTCCAACAGCTGTTGGATTTGGACATTCTCATCACGTGTGAGTGTTTTATACATAAATGGGTAGATGCTTGCGGACATGTGGATGCTTGGAGGCACCGTCACCAGGAGGCTCAGTTTTCTGGAACGACTACTTTTGTCTGTAGATACATTTAATAGTGCTGTAAAACAGTGCGGATGCTTCCTGTGAAACATACTTCACCCCCTCTGGACCGAAGATGAGCTGAGCTCTCTTGAGCTGGCCATCAAGAATGGAGAGGGAGAGTAAATCTAGTCCCCAGTCTGCTGGAGCTTACGATAGTGATCCCGTGGGCAAATAGCACCTTTCATCCAAGTGACTTTTTAAAGAGAACTTGAGGTATAAAGTAGTCTACTAAAATTTCCTCAAAGGTTCACCGGTCTGGTGCAGTGTCGCTTGATAAAACATCATTTGTGGGGGGTAATTTGCCAATACCTATCACTGTTAAATTGCCCGAGAAACATGTCTAGCCTTTGACCCATTTCCAGTATTTGCCCTAAGGTGGCAATTAAAGAATTGCATGAGGCTAAGCTAGGCAGAACGATGCTTCTAGCACCCACTCACACCGTAACAATCTTTTGAGCTCCTATTTTACACCTTCCGGGCACCCACACCGGCATTCTCCATCTCCTTTCCATATTTTTTCACCATAAAATATAAACAGAAACCTACATAGTGTTGAAAACTATATTGGAGGAGGATATTTAAGGATGTTGAGAACGTTCACATTTCTAACAAAAATGCTGGTTATAAAACATGTACATATGAACTCATTTTTGCAAATAAAAGTACATATCAAGAGGAAAAAACCTCAATTTTATATCAAAATTTTACTACTGGTAAAATTTTACTACCGAGTGATGGATTTGTGGTGATCTTCTTATGTTATCCATATTTAAATGATGACATCACTTGTGTAATAAGAGGCAGTAAAAATTATTTGGTGAGGAAGGAAGAGCCAGCAGCCTGAAGGACCCTGGTAGACCCCGTGGGAGCAGTGGTAGACCCAGGGGGAGCGGTGGTAGACCCCGTGGGAGCGGTGGTAGACCCCGGGGAGCGGTGGTAGACCCAGGGGGAGCGGTGGTAGACCCCGGGGGAGCGGTGGTAGACCCAGGGGGAGCGGTGGTAGACCCCGGGGGAGCGGAGGTAGACCCCGGGGGAGCGGTGGTAGACCCCGTGGGAGCGGTGGTAGACCCCGGGGGAGCGGTGGTAGACCCCGGGAGAGCGGTGGTAGACCCCGGGGGAGCAGTGGTAGTTGAACACATAACAGGTGTCACCTCTGCTGTCCATCGAGCAACAGATGAGGTCTGAAAGGATTTCAAAAGGCTCGTGGAAAATGGAATTAAAAGATGTTTGTTTTGGTGCAAAAAATACTTGAAATCCATAAATAGTTTTTTCATGATACACATTTTCCATGAACTTTTTTACCCCCTGCCCAAGGTCTTTTCACTGAATAAAATCCCTTTGGTGTAAAAAGAGTAACAGGAACAAACCCCAAATCCACACAAAGAGGTCCTTCATGTTGTAATACCTTGTCTTGGGAAAATCAAGAGCAGACGACATGGGGCACATTCAGGGTAGGATGGATTACTGTGTTCCTGAGTTTGTATTTATGAAATGCATGAAGTGTGTATACCTGAAATAAAAGGTTTCTGGGGAAAAAAAAAAGAAAATCAAGCGCAAAAATATCTTTATCATATACCATGTTAGCTCACTGCTTCCATTCCAAGACAAGCTTCTGGAACAGTTCCCTCTGCTGCAACCACATCTCTGGCTTAGAGCAGAAGTTATGTGTATGCCATCCTGCTTGGAATCGGGAGTTTGGGCAGAGGCCAGCGGGTGGTTCTTGTGATTCTTCTGCTTATTGTGTGGCATCAGGTGGAGCACTTCCTGGGGTATGGGGTGGGGATGGGGGTGGAATGCAGGTGACACTTGGCTAAAAGCTTGGCTGGGCTGGGTTGTCTGAGACAGTTCCAGGCCCTTTCTATATGGCTGTTCTAACAGAAGAGTCAGACTGTCCCATGGCAGCTGTATCAAAGAAGACAGAACCTACGCTTCTCTTGAAGCATGCCCCAGGAAGAGTCCATGTCACTTCCACCATGTTCTGTTGGTCAAGACAGGTCACAGAGCCAGCTCAAAATCAAAAAGAAGGGAACTAGAAGCCACTCTCAGTGGGAGGAATGGCAGAGATCCATTGCAGTAGTAGATACAGAAGGTCCAATTCTTACCTCCCATTCGTTCCTCAACTATACAGTAGAGTACAAGGAAGAATATAACTAAATTCCTACAACCTAAAATCAATGCTGTTTTTTTTTTTTTTTTTAGATTTATTTATTTGAAACTCAGAGTTACACAGAAAGAGGAAAGGCAGAGAGAGAGAGAGGTCTTCCATCCAATTGTTCATTCCACAATTGGCCT